TTCATTCCTGAAGCTGACAGCTTTTTCTCCATTCAGATTGGCATCTAACAGGTTACACAGCAGGGAAATCCTCCCTGCTGTGTAACCTGTCATGGACGAAGCTCCTCAGCAGTGAGGAGCAAGTAAGGGACAGGGATGCTCCTCCATCTCCTCTCTTCCTCCTTTACTCTAGCTTGGGGACGGGACTTCATCCAGCAGGGGCGGGGCTTCATCCGACGGGGGCGGGGCATGCTGGGGAAATGCCTCACCCGGAAAAAGAAGTACTACTGACATAGTGATCACATATAGGCTGGAGGCTTCACTGATAAAAGCAAAAGCCTTTAGCCTGCAGATAAACACTGCCATTTCCAGGCTGCAGTGTTCACAACGTTCATCTGTGGTGCCATCTATTTAGTAGTGTAACTGTCAGATACAGTTGCATTATTAAAAATAAAGAACATTCTGGTTCATTTGTCAGCCTATAATAAAAACAGACATGCCAACACTCCTAAATTGGCCTTCAGTCGCAAAGCTGTGTCTTGTCTGGTCTCTAAAGAAAACAAACCGTCAGGTCCATGGAAGAAAACAGCCATTATATTCTCTAATAACCAGTGTGTCCTATCTACTTTCTGTTCCAGCAGTGGAGCCTCCTTTAGCATCTTGACATGGGCTGTCAGAGGTTATAATGGCTCTTCTCTTCAAGGGACCCAATTGTGTTATTGCTTTGGAGACCTGATAGTCTCTTTAAAGTACATGTAAACCCTAAATGCATGACATTTAATTTGCTAATACACTGTATACACTCTGATGAGAGTGCTAAGTTAAGAGTTCTAAGAGTTCAAACAGTTTTAATGATGACACTGGGTTACAGCAGGGTAGCACAAAAAAGCCAATATGTTTCAAAAGGCCAAAACAAATTTCCTTAATCAGGCAGTAACTTAAATCTGAGTCATGAAAGATTTGTTGCTGGAGTCATCAGTATAGGTGTCATTCCAGCCAGCTCAGGTGAAACAGGGAGGACATGTACCAGCATTATTGCCACTGTTAGTGCCAATAATGCTGGTACATGTCCTTGCTGTTTAACCTGAGTTGTGAGAAATTACATTTAGTACTGTCTGATTATAAGCACTGATGGCTTTGTTTGGCCCTCAAAACATGTTGGCTTTTTTGTGCTACCCTGCTGTAAACCAATATCTTTATTAAACGTGTTTGGACTCTTAGACTTTTGCTTGGCACTCTCAATAGGCTGTGCATATGTGGATTCTCACTTTGGGGTCCCCTTCCCTTCCTCAAGGGATTTCCCTGCTTTTCAGTGTTTGCTCAAGTGCTCAGTGTTCAGTTTGCTAAAGTACTGTGAATCATAAACAACTGTAATTTTTTTTTGGTCCATAAAATAGTATTTCCACATTTGTTTCATCCTTTGTTGCATATCGTAGCTGGTAATCTCCTTTAGACTGTTTGGAGCCACTTCCTGTCTGCATGCATGTACTCCATGGAAGAAAACTGCAATTATACTCACCTCTCCAATAGCCAGTGTGTCCTAACTGCTTTGATGTCTTTAGCCTTTGAAATGGGCCGTCAGAGTATAAAGGCTCTTCTCCCTGATGGTTTGATTGCTTTGACAGGGTCTCTTTAAAATAGATGTAAACCCTAACTGAATGACATTTACAGGGTTATTCACAAAAGGGTGAAGAGCTTGGAGAAGGCAGGAGAAGTGAACAATCTAGGACAACATAGCTGAACTGGAAAGTGAGCTGAATTGGAGAATTTTTCCAAATCATCTATGTTGTCCTAGATTGTTCACTTCTCCTGCCTTCTCCAAACGCTTCACACTTTTGTGAATAACCCTGTCAGTTTGTTAATACACTGTATACATTTTTATGAGAGTGCTAAGCCAGAGCTTGAGACAAATTTGCTGTGAATCTAGGAGCCAGCTAAAAAAAATTAGGTGGCTTACAACTGTCATTGAAAATAAAGCTTGAAGGGCTTGTTCACACCAAATGCAGACCAGATCTGCATGAGTCTCTGCACACGCAGTGCAGTGGGTTGTGCTGCATTTTTTACTGTGTTTTTGATGCGTTCTGGGCCGTTTTTGATAAAAAAAGTGCGTTCCAGGGTGTTTGCATGCATTTTTGATGCGTTCCAGAGCATTCCTTGCAGGTAAAATAGGGCTTGCTGCAGTTTTTTTACATGCTCTGGAACTGAACGCTGTGGTGTGAACTAGAGCCCAAAATACCATTGGAATACATTGGACGCAGTTTTGATCCGGTCTGTAATTGCTCTGCTCCTGGAACGCGCTTGGTGTGAACAAGGCCTCAAACTTATAGTTTAAAAACAAACAAACGGGCTGTTTTTGTTTTTAAACTATAAGTTTAAAAGCTTTATTTTTAATGACAGTTGTAATTTTTAATAACCGTTGTAATTGGCACATGCAGCAATGCCTGACATGTGCAGTGCAATCGTCGTTTTCATACAAAGCTGCACCCAATTTGGGTTTCCATTAGTATGTGCATGTTCACGGGGGGCATGGGACTTTCATTTGTACTTAACTTTCTTGCTATCACATGGGGAAGGTGGGGGACTGGTGTAACAAGCCCCCTATGCGATAGCACATTGGAAATGACAGGTTTTCTTTAAGGTGAGTCTATTAGACCTCTGGTGTCACCTTTCCATTTTAGCTAGGGAATGACAGCTGCCTGCTGAGGCAGCTGAATGTAAACACAGCAGGCAGTGGCTGAGAGCAATAACAAGCCTGCTATTGGATATTCCAAATTGCAATAGCATCCTGAATATTGCAGCCGCCCACAACCTGCTGTCAATCAGAAGAGGCGAGAACTGAAGGAGAAAGTTCTCCATGTCCACTCTTCTGCTGATTGACAGCAGGCAGTGGGCGGGTGCAATAGCCAGCCTGCTATTGCAATTTAAAAATATCCAATAGCAGGCTGGCTATTGCTGCCAGCCACCAGATGGGCAGTTGATCCGAAGAGGGGGCAATGGGGGCGTAGCAGGGGCACATCGACTGACAGCGGTTTCTCCTCCTTACTGGGTGCCAGCTGCAGCAGTCTGTGTCCCCTTCGTGCTCCCCTGCCTCAGCTTATACAGGCGAGGAGAGCAGCGGGGATTGGAGGGGGACACAGATTACAGCATGCAGCGGGCTCGCAGCACGGAAAACAGGAGGAATACAGCTGATACAGGCGAGGCGCGATTGTCCCCAAATTTATTCTGCAGCAGGACAACGACCCCAAACATACAGCCAATGTCAACAAGAACGATCTTCAGCGTAAAGAAGTCCACAAGTCCCACCAACAATTCAGATTGTGTGCATATCCACAAAAGCAGTTGAATTTGTCTGCCTTGCAAGTACTGTGCCATCTTTGCATATGAAGGGTTACCTGAAAACAGGCACTGTTGGTGAAACATGACTACTGGCTCGGGAAACACTGAACTAATGACTGGTGGATGGAAGCAGGCATCATTACAGTCTCCCTATAAACCCTGCACCTAGTTTTCGGCTGCTTCACACCAAGCCCCACTGAGTACCAGCTGCAGTGTCGATCAGTACCACCAGTGGTGTCCGAGAAACTGTAATGATGTTTGTCCTAGTCCTCACACATGAAAGTAAACCAGGATCACAGACAGAGACACACAAATTAGGTGTATATGGTTTTTCAGCAACAATTTCCCTTGTCGACTAAATGGAGCTATTTTGAAATGTCAAGCAATGTTTTAATAAGCTGAAGCAAAGGTGACAACGTCATGTCCTCGTGTGGATAAGCCCCACCCACGTTTTCATGCAGTATCATGGTGGATGAAAAAGCAAATACTTTGTACGTGTGCCAGTTTATTATTTGTAATTAAAATGGAAGCCACCTAAAGTGCATCTAAACCCCCATCCAAAATGTAATATTTTGCAGATTACCTGCTGCATTTGTTTCCTTTGTTTCCCTTTATTTTCACCTGATGATCCTGCCAGTAACACTACTGACACTGTACTGCCTTAGGGGGACACTCACTTGCTGTATTGTACCTATGGAGAAGCAGCATTATCACCTTAGGCCACTCAAGTCTGTTTTTACAGGTCACCTCAACTCTCCTCAACATGGGGTGGGGTGTTCTGCAGTACACAGGTGTGAACTAGGCAGGTCTAATAACACTGCTTGAGATTTCAATGTAGCAGGTATAGTGCATAGAACTTTACAAGCTCACTGGATTGCTGACAGGATCAACAGGTTTTATGTTATCTGTATGGTCTCTACTAGTGGTATATTTAACAGACCAAAAGGAAACAAATAAGAAGTTCATAGTTAGGGTTTAAATACACTTTAATCTGTGTTCATAAGATTTAAAAACTTAAAGAACTCCTAAATAAAAATACAATTATTATATTGTTAGTTTACCATAAACGGATACTGTCACTTTTCCCATACAGAGTGTGGACATAGCCCACCAACCCAGGCAACATAAACTTGCACATTCAAACTCCCTTGCCACCTTCCCACATCATTGGCGCCCTCATTAACAAGTCGGTGTTTCTGGGGGCATGTGACCTCTCATGCACTGTCACATGGGAGGGCGCATGACATCATCCCCCTGTCTAAGCCCCGACACTGGAGCTTACAGAGGTTGGGAGTGCTGCAGCTGAGAGGTGGCAAGGGGGTTTGTTTAGGTAGGCATACCTACCCGGGGGGGTATAGGTAGGCTATGTGCATTTACTCTGACTGGACAAAGTGAAATCTACTTTTTAAAGCCCAACACACTAGGATTTTGAAGCTACTGTGCACTGCTAGCACAATCCATTTCATACAAACATGCTGACAATAGTCATGTTAATAATGTGAACACCCTTAAAATGTTTGGAATGATCAGAACATACAACACGCTTGCCAGAAAAAAAAAATTAAACGGTATCTAGTTTATTACATATAGAAAGATTCCAGAATTTACAAACAGCCACATTGTTCATTGCAGGGTGTTTTCATTTTTTAGAGTTCAGCCAAGTTTCACTTTTTTTTGTCTTTTTCTTATACACTATATACATTGGAAGACTTGAATCAATATTTATTTTTTTTTTTACTTCTTTTACCTATGCAATGAAAAGATCTGTGTTTATTCTAAAACCTGCGAGTATCGTGTATTATGGGGCCTTCAGTTCCGATAATGCTTTTAGTGATAACTGCAGCCCTATCTGGCACAGAAAGAGTTAAAACAAAACACTGCCAGGAGCGCAGAGCTGATGTATCATCATTATTATTATCATTATGATTATTATTATTAACGCTCATATTACAGCCGCCACTAAATAGGACTGAAAACAAGAGTCCTAGTAACCTAGGACCCTTTTGTATGTCTTCTTACCTTAGAAATGAGAATAGTACCCTACCCAATCATTTTATTAACCATATTTATCATTTACCCAAAGTCTGTTTACAACAGAATTCCTCAAAGTCCCATGTAAAAAGATGGGCTCCAGCAGGAGGGAAGAAAATAAAAGTACATGTATAAATCAAAAACCTATGTTAAATATTTAATTCTCACCAATCATTATTAACAGTTTATCGTACTTAATAATTTACACCATTGATTTGTAATACAGTTCTATTTCTTGTAAATTTCAGCAGCAACTTAAATAGAGTTGTGAACAATGTGCGGGTTAAGCGAGTCCATGGGCACCATGGCTTGGTGCTGGGAGTACCAGGTCACTGAGGATGACTCCAACGATGAAGTAGAGCAGACTGTCTCTGTCGTCACAGTGCTTTTTGCTTGGCACAACAGGGAAGGTGCGGTTCAGTCAGCTGACTCCTGAGGTTTGCGTGTATAGTAAACAATGTGAAGTGGGTGCAGCGTACCATCTATTAAAAGAGGAGGATGTGAGGTCCTAGTTGTGATGTGTGAAGGCTACTGAGAGTCCATAATCCCTTGAGATTGAAAGGGTGATTTGTTGAGGTTGTGGAGGTTGTTTATTCTGGAAAGAAATCAAAAAACAAATGTCATTAAGTATACAAAACATGAAAACTGCAGATTATAGTCAAACATTGCATGAAAACTACCAAAAACACATGCAAGGTGATATAGAGCCATCAAACTTAAAAACAAAGCATCTTATATTCACAGAAAATAGACCTTTATAAAGCTTTGCCTATAGCCACTTGTTTTCTATTGGCTGCCATCTTACTTAGTCCACACATGGATCTAGTGTAGTCCTTATCTGCCAACAATAGGGCAGTGCCCTAAGAACATGCAATTACATTGGATATCCAAATCGATTGCAGACCAGGTTGTCAACACCAGAGAACAAGAAGCGCCTGTCAACCCAACAAATCCAGATATGGACAGCATCAGGCTAAGGCTCAATTGTGGTATTTGGCAAATAATCTTATATGTGATTATAGAACAGAAGAATTAACTGTAAATGATAAAAGAAAAAAAAAAGTCACTGCCCTAATTCAATGGCTGGCTGAACCCTTGAAGAAAACGTCTTAGTGCAGTATAATGGCAAGTGAGAAGAGTCTCTGAGCTCCAGCTCTGTTACATGATGGCAGTGGTCACACTTGATGTTATCACCTAAATGAACAGTAAGTTTCTCAGAGGCTCTGCTCACTTACTGTTCTGAAGCACAAGGAAGCTACTGGAAGACTTTTTTTCTAGGGCTCAGTTGAGCCTTTAGCCCCCATTCACACCTATGCGTATTGTAATATGCGCGTCTGTCGCGCGACCGTCACACGTTTTTTTACCGCGATTCGCGGTAAAAAAGTCGCGCGACCGTCGCGCGATTCCAAAGGCTACTTAGCAGTATACAAATGGAAAACGCCCTACAAAACGGACCAATACGCAGCAAAAAACGCTCCGGGACCTTTTCATGCGTGGGCCGTTTTGTAGTGCGTTCGGGACGGGCGGAAATACGGACAGGTGGGAACGATACCATTGACTACAATGCTATTTATTTTTTTGACCGTTTTGTAGAGCGTTCATCGAGCGTAGGACGCGCTACAAAACGGTCAGGTGTGAATGGGGCCTAAATCGAGGTTCTGACCATTATGCAAACGTTTCAGTAGCTTCTGTAAAAAAATCAGTGCAGTGCCAGATTTAGTGCAGTGTAGCCACAATACAGAAACATAAAAGTGTGGTCCCATCAATACTAAGTATTAAAACTTAAGGAACACATTGAAATACCTCCCCAAGTTTAGAAACAGGGCTAGTTCTACATCAGATTGGTGCTGCAGTGCCTTCACAAACACCTTCATGTAGCCATTTGGGTGCTGTACATATGGGGCTCCTCAGCCAACACCATATCACTGCACTGAAACTGCACTTTAAAAACAGTGATAGGAATTTATTAGAACTGGAGGAAACAAAATCTGGAGCAGCTGTGCACGGCAACTGCTCCAGTTTTAATAAATTCCCCTCAGTGGGTTCTCTGGACCTCTGGTTTTCAGCACATAACTGTGAAAATGCCTAAACATTGCTGAAAAGTAGACAAGATGAGAGCACTGCCAAAAAAAAAACAAGTCAGTATAAAATATACATTCTGAAGAGATTATAGGGCTAAACCATGCTGCTTTGATGTCTGCAAATTCCAACCTTTTGTGTAAAATCGCTGAACGACTTCACAAACTGCCACTCAGTCTTGCAAAGCGGCATTACAACTGTCACATAATCACAGTCACATTAGGTTATGCCTAAACGGTTCATTACAGCCATGTCACAGGCTTCAGAAACAATAGCTGAAGAGACAGAGAGCTAAAAATCTGTGCTTAGATCACAGTCTGGACTTGCCATTGTTTCTCATCAACAACAGTCAGTATTTCCTTAACAACCTATAAAACAGCTCTCTATACAACTGGCTTAGAGCAGGGGATCTCGGGCTACAGTGAGCTCAGCGTAGATCGTTTAATGTCACTGACATCACTGCTGGCAGCTTCAGAACAGGGAAAACCTGTGTTTAATCTATTTCCTACTTACCGCCAGCATTAGCTGGAGTCCCCGATAATACAGCTTTGTGGTTGGGGCTGAACATTTTTGCTAGATTACTCAATCCTTCCTGGCAAGCAAAACATGTAACTGAAAGTTACAGTGGGGTACAGCTTTTGCAATAGTGTATGTTTCACATCTGCTCTGAGGTGTATTTTAAAGGAGATTGAACCTACCTTTCATTTCTATCACCAAAGCAGGGATCAGAAAAATCCCAGTTCTGTACAGAAGAGACAGACGAGACATGTGCAAGACATGACTACTGTAATTCTTTTTAATAAGGTCTTATTTTTCATCTTTACTAGTTTCAGAAAAGCATGCTGTTCACCTTAAAAACACTCAGAAGGTTCGAGCACTACTAGAGGCATGCTAGGTGGTCTTAATCTAATTCTGCAGACAAACCTATTGTATCAAAGATGGAATCTGCTAAATCTTTTAAGCCTCTCACATAATGAGCAGAGTTATCAATGCTCAAGCTAGCATTTCAAGTGCTAAAGCTGCATCGCCAAGCTTTGAGATCTATAGCCTGCGTGTGTTGTATTAGTAGCATAATATGCTCACATCAAATCAACACAAAACAGCCACATTCCAAGAGAAATAAAAAGCATGGGTCAAACAAGAGCTCACTGAGCTCATTCACGTTCTCATATATGTTTAGGGGAGAACAGCAAAGAACTTTCTAAACGCAACTTATTTTGGTTTTACAGAGCTAAATCGCAGATGGTTTTTAAACTCGACAGTAATGTTACTGGTATGCATTTTTGGAAAGGCGCAAGGAAAACTTGCCAAACTTTTAATGATTTACCATATCCTGTGACGACATGAAAATATAAAAACAAAACCTAAAGATTTGCAGTCCATATACAATGACATTTAACGTCTAAGCATGGCAGCCCTCTGTGGGTAAGGCAATATATCACTAGAATGTTGCATATTCCCCCTAAACTATAACGTCTACTTTATTAACTCTATTAAGGAAAAGTATTTTGCTGACGGATTCCAGAAATAAGATTTACTTAAAAGTGGTCATGGGAGAAAAATGGGGGCTGCCCTTGCCGGCTGTTGTTCTCAAAGTATTAAAGTAGACCTGAACTCCAAAAGGCATTTACTACTGAATGTTAGAGGGAAAGGTTTAAAAAAATTGATTGTGCCTACGCAGCACCCTGAAAAATTTACATTTCGTTTGGAATTCGCGTTAAATATAGCAGTGCACTTCCTGGTTAGTAGGGAGCTGGGGCTTGGTGCGAAGCCTGCACAAAACTGTGACCAACACATCCTCCTCCTGGCCCAATCAGTTTCAGCAGGCATGTTCTTTACCTCGCTGTCCCTGATTGGAAGGGGGAGTTTTGAGCGGGCTTGAGCGAAAACGTTTGGCACCACGCCGCAGCTTATCAATTTGTTGTATGAAAGTGTTTACAGCCCCATAGCTGTACATCTGCAGCGTGAGACCTCAGACACTGCTGCCTCTGACTGACTGAGAATTGGAGTGAGATTTGGTGCTTTATGCTGTGCTGCTCCTTGTTTTTGCTGCAGGCTCTGACTAGAGTAAAAGCCCAGTTTCAACCAAGATGGCCACTTCTACATCTCCCATACATGCACATACTGGGGGAATGCATAAAAAGTGTCCGAGACAAGTTTCTATCTCAACTGGTGTGGTTGCCTATAGCAACCAATCAGCTACTATATATTTTTTTCCATACAGCTTAGAAAATGAAAATGTAAAGCCGATTGGCTGAGCTCCAGTTGGGACAATGGGGGTGAATAGGCTGTTCCGTTTGCAAGGGAATGTGTACTTAGCAGGGCGCAGTTTTCCCTTAGTTTAGTGAATGAGGAGAAACTCTGCTGGCTTCCACCATCCAATCATGTTCAAGAAAAAAATGCTGTTTTTTTAAATTTTCTTTGCATGCGATTGGGTATTCCTAACAAAGAGAGGTTTCCTCACATTCACTAAGCTAAGGGGAAACTTCCCTTGCAAAGTGAACAGCCTATTTGCCTGTAGTAAATCAACCCCTATGTTTGTCTGTTTTGGCTGATGTAAGGGCACCTACACAAAAGATCAGATGACAATCCTTGGACCACACACACAGCAAAATGCATGAATTTACATTTTAAATTAGAGTGGGTGATACCGGTCAAGCAAGAAAGAAAAACATGTCACCTGGGTCTAAGCCTGCAGTGTCACCAAAGAGCCTAGATTACTTAAGTGACTATAAAAAAATAACAGTACACCTTGAACTCTGACCTAGATGTTCACATTTGTAGACTTTGGTGTTAGGCAAAAAAACATTTAAAAAAATTCAATATTCTGGAGGAAACAGGAGACTCATTTCAAAACAAATGTGTTGCCAATAGCAACCAGATGCGCCAGAAAAGGATTTTAGTTCTACTACATCTGACAGTACTGGGTTTATGTGTACGACAAACAAGTGACCCCAACACAATGCAATGTCTGGATTTGCAGTTTGTGGTTTCTACGAGAAACAAAATCAGCATACTTGCACATAAAATCTGGGTTTCAGCTCTGCCCATAATTCAGAGAAAGAACTAATGAGGCCGAGAAAAAGACGTCATGTCTGGTTTCATCTAACCATCTTTAGAAGTCTTGCAAAAGTGATCATTAAAGTTACGTTCCCATATGTGGAAGCCTTGTTCTGGGCATTGCCTAATAATTTAGCCATTACAGCATTCAAAGCCTTGCAAAACAGCACACTGTCAAAGTGGTACGATTAAGACTTTTGGTCAGAGCCTTCCAGACAGAGCGAGCCTAGCAAAGACTTTCCAGAAAAGCAGACCAAATTATTCCATTAATCTTATTTTCAGACAAAAAAAAAAAAGAAAGAAGATTGTTTCAGCCTTTTCGGTGGCCATGTACTAATTAATTCAGACGGTTTCAAAATAATGCACTTTACGATGGCTGTGCCTTATGCCACCTAAGACGTAGTGACCAACAGACTAGTGATTGGCTACATATACTGAAAGAAAAAAACCTCAACC